CCCTCTGTCATCTCCCACTCTTCCCACACTGTCTCTGGTATCTATGCTTACTTTCTATACAGTTTTCCCCCCATTTTTTATGGAATTACTAAAGATCTTAATTAATCTAAATATTTTCATAGCAAACACAGCTGATATATACATTTCCATGAACACAAGTCTAACTTTAGGCATCCTATAAAGTAGCACCTAGCTGGGGCTATATATCTTACTGTGGTCATCGAATGGATTTTTTTTTTCTGAAACTTTTCCTTTTTTTGTAACTTAATTTACATTCTTTACCTAAGCATCATCACAGCATACAAAATGTGACTTCCCATCAAGAATATAATGCATAGTGACTTAATCATGCATATTATTATCCAAAATTTTCCATTTATACATCCTAGAATTTTTTACCCCTCTTTCTGACCCTCTGTCCTTTCCCACCCTCTTCTACTGTCTCTGGTGTCTACAATTGTCTTCTATTCCTTTTCCACCCACATTGTATTGATCACACAATTTCTTAAATAATCTAACTACTTTCAATGGTAAGTTCACATGGTACTATTAAGAAAACCAGTTTTAACTTAAACCAGAAATGCTAAAAAAACTTTTCTTAAAGCCAGGAAACAGGTTAGGATTCTGTTCAAATGGTAGGTGCATAAACCTATCAGTCTCATGTACTTTACCTTCTGTTCTGGTTCCATTTTTCCTATTAAATTCTGGGATATAATATTCAACTCCAGACTTGTCCCTATGATTAAGTTGGCCACTTTCTTAGTTTTTGGAGCAAATTAACAACAGTAACAATGGGACCAGCACATGGTATAATGGTTATGTCACTGGACTTCCACATAGTTGACCATGGTTCGAGTCCTGGACCCAGAGGCTTAAAACACACTGGGCATGTATGTGTACATGCCCAAAATCCTGAGAGGAGAATGGAGGAGAAGGAATTGTGGCATGGCCATCACCCATGAGGGGGTGATTTATCACACTTTCTATCTCTCTGTCTCTCTGGCAAGCACATATGCCCTATAGCAAAGACCTCTCTTAAAAAAACAAAAACAGGGGCTGGCATGTGGCATGGTGGTTAGGGGCGCTGGATTCCCACATGGCCTACTGTGGTTCGAGTCCAGGACCTGGAGGCTCGCTTTCCCTCTCTCTTACCCTCACTCTGTTCCGCTCTGGTCAAATATAAATAAATAAAGTTAAATAATTCATTAAAAAAAATTCTCTATGTCTCTGTCTGTCTGGCGAGCGCACACACTCTATAGCAAAAACCTCTCAAAAAAATAAATAAATAAAAAAGATAGGAGTCAACTGATAATCAAGTCTTTTCTTTTTTTTTTGAGAGAGAGACTTTTGATTTAAGGCATGTGCACTTACGTCTTTACATGGTTCAATATATATACTCTTTATATGGTCTAAGAATCAAGTCTTTACATGGTCCAAATATATGTTGTTCTAAAACATTCCAATTAAGAAATGATGGCAAAATATTCTATGTCATTAGATACCAAGTAATTGGCAATAAAAACACTTTACATCAAATAACCTATAAATTGACCAAATGAAAGTTGGTGATTCATTAGGAACAAAGTACTCCCTAAGAAATGTAAGATATATATTAAGGGTATAAGCTAAGTACTTAGGATTGCAGAGTAAGAAGGACATCATTTCAAGCTGGAATGTTTAGAAAACTGAAGAAGCAGCAGGA